CAAAAAATTAGGACTAAAGTGCCTTTACCTCTCTTCCCCTACGTTTTGTAGTCATGTGATTATGCATCTTTTCTCTCCCTCTATGCCCGAACTCTCTCTACTCAAAAAATTCATTTTGCTCTCTCTCTCTCTGCCCAAGCTCTTTCTTTCATGTCGCTCTATCTCTCTCTCTTTGTGCCCAAAAACTCTCTTTATTGAAACCCACTTTCTCTTTCTCTCTTTTGAAAGGACACATGTGATCTAGTCGATAGTCTAAAATAAATTTCTTCCTTTCTTTTTCAGTTCTTTTTCATTTCTTCAAGGCATAGATCACTCACAAGTAGTTATTTTACGATATAATAACTTCAAATAAAATAAAATAAAATAATACAATAGGATCTCAAGAACTTGAAGTCATTCACACTTTATTTTTCATTAACAAAAGAAAAGACACAACTATGCTGGGAAATAAAAGACACAATAAAAATAATATGAAAAAAACAAAAGAGGGTGCCAGAGATTACCTCAATCGGGTTTCTTACACCCCATACCGAGTCACCACATTCCAATAGCGTGGGATCTAATGGTCAACCTTCAATCTCAAATGAGAAAGCAGGACAAACCACATAAATGAAACATGAACCCTTTTGATCACAAAACTCAAACCTTAAGTGAATCCCCTTAGCAATCTAGTTTGAGAGAAATATACTTCTCTTTTCTACCACAACCCTATAGTCTAAACCCCAAAGAGAGATGAAAGATCGTGAGAGACACCATGAGAGATATGACATTCTCAATAGCCTAAACCCCTTAGGTTCCTTTACAATGTGGGAAAGAGAGAGAGATCTCGAAGAAGAGAGAGTGGGGTGTGCTCCCTTTGGGTTTTAATGAGAGAGAGAAATTTTTTTTAAGAGATAGAGAGAGATATATTTTAAGTGGGGTGTGCCCCTTTTAGTAAGTTAAGGGAGAGAGAGATAGAAATAAGGTCCACAAATTTTGGATAGAGATAATCTCTTTTTATAGTGCTTGATCAAGATTAAAGTTTTTTAGAATTTTTCTTTGCTTGCTACTCACATGAGATTAAATATGAATCATTGATCATAAGTGACTTATGAGGTGAGTGATCTAAGTTGTCCAATCCATAGATAGGCATCAACATCCTATGGAATGTGCTAGACCATTATCCCCCACTTCCTAAACCATTTTCCCATCAAATAAGTTAAATAAGAAATTAACATATCATAATATTATTCCTTTTTTATTTTTATCTATAAGCCTTCTCACACATTCCAAAATATTAATCAAATATTCCTCAAGGCTTTAAACTTTCCAAAACAACACAAACCCTTCTATCAAGCTTCAAGCTTGAACACCAAATAGGAAAGATGCAACAGGTGGGGCGCGCCACCCACAGTGGCACATAATTCCCCCTCCTCCCCCCCATTTTTAAATCATTATAAAATCAATATCTATATTTTTATAAATCTAAATTTATTAAATAAAATATCCAGAGATTTAGAAAATTTCAAATAATAATTATAAAATTAAATATCATTAAAATAAAACATAATTAAACCTTGATGGGAAAATGATCTATATGGGCGAAGAAAATATCCAATGGGGCACTCTATGTCCAACTGCGAACTACGAACCATACATGCTTTCTCAAACCGACCCAACAATGCCCGTGACCCACAGTCTATGCAGGGGGATCATTAGTGGATCACCAACGTCTGGTCAATAGGTAAGGGGTCGCAGTCCCAGTATATAGATTTCAGGTCTCCCCCCAAAGACGAAACACAAGGTCATTCTGATCTAATGCAATCCATAGCTCCACAGTGCACAGGGGTTATCTCTTACACATATATACGCTACACCCTGAAATGTGGTATGCTTTCTCGAATGACTATCGATGTGAATGTTGTGTGATGATACAAATAATGAGGTTTTGGACCCGTCCTTGAAGGCCTCATCATCACACAATCCTTCGGCTCACTCATCTTAGCATATTTCGACTTCATCAACGGATAACCCTCATCGGTACGACTCTCAGAGCTTAGGCAACATTGGTTTTTCCCAATCAGGTCAACCTGGCACGTCAAGCACAGTCTAGTATCAACAAATATCGTTTGCTAAATATGGTCTACACGGGACTACACTCTTACTGAGTTTATGTTTCACTATATATTTCCATTTTAAAAATCACTCATAAGGCCTTTAATAACTCACCCAATATCTTTTCCCATCTCCTCTCTCTTTCTCTCTCTATCAGCCCTCTCTCTATCTCTCTCTACCCGCCCTCTCTCTCAATCTCTCTACCCACCCCTCTCTTTTTATCTTTCTCTACCCGCCCTCTCTCTCATTCTCTCTCTACCTACCCCTCTCTTTTTATCTTTCTTTACCTGCCCTCTCTCTGTCTCTCTTGTTTTCTCTCTAGATAGGAGAACAATTTGACAGGAACCCCAATTCTTGTCATATATAGGCAGGAATCCCAAAATCTTTTTACTTTTTTAATGGCATTTACAATATATAAAAAATAAAATCAGAGAACGGAAAAAGAAGGAAAGAAAGATAAAACGAAATTGAGAATTTCGTTGCAATATGTGGATCCTGCGTACGAAATGCAGCATTGCAGCTGGGTGGAATGCATAGAGAGTGAGAGAGATCTGTAGGTTATTGTTGGGTTTTGTTAGGGGAAGTCCTAGAGCACGATGGTTGAGCAAGTTTAAGTGAGAAAAAAAGAAGAAGAAGGTAGGGGTTGTTTTTAGATAAGTTTTTGTTTTGGAGTGAGTTCGTAGAGAGAGAGAGGGGTAGTAGAGAGAGGGTAGAGAGAGAGGGGGCTGGGTAGAGTAGAAAAAAAGAGTTCGGGTAGAGAGAGAAAATAGGAAAAGGAGAGAGAGTTCGGGTAGAGAGAGAGGAGATGACTATTGAAAGGGGTTGTTTAGTTCTAAATATTTTAACTTTTTGACTCAGGGTAAAAATAAGAAAAAATTGATTATGACGTGGTCAGTGATATTAAAATTATTATGGGGCACAATATTGATAAAGTTCATTTTGGAAGCTATCTATAATTTTCTCTATTTTGAATCTAGAATATCCTTATAAAGAACAAGTGAGAGTTTCAATGATAATAAGAATTTAGGCAGTTAGGAATTCAGTGTGAGATTCAAATTTGCTTAAGGATTTTGTTGTTTTTTTTATACATAGAAAAGTTTGACCAATCTGATAGTTTCATTTTTTTTTTATTGGTGAATATTACATAGCATTTTGGCATTTATTATTGGATTTATTGAAAGTTTAGACAATAAATTGTTCAGTATTACTCTAATTACACTAGGTTGATCAATTTTCATCTTTACATATTTGAAATTTTTTCACTCTGGTTTTTTTAGCCTAATCTGAGATATTGACGATTATGTAACTTACCTTATTTTTTGACAATCCATATTTTAGACTCGATTTTTTTCTCCACTTTTAAAAATAAAACCAATTTATTACTGAAGTTTTAGTTCACCGATATATTATTAATGGAAAAAGTTTATATAAGATTACAGATGCACCTCAAAAATTCATCGAAAAAAGTTGTTTTAATGTAGAAAAAATCTCTAATTGGTCATCTCGACATTGAGATGTATGAATACAAAAAAAAAAAAAGATTGAGTCCCAAAAATAGTGCATTTTGCAATACTTTATCTAGACTTTTTATTTTCAAGATTTTCATATGTTTATAGATCTACTTGATTTTAATTAGTTTAAAATCGTCCAATTAGATATAAAAATAGATACCCAAAAATTATATGTTATGATACAATTTGGAAGTATGCCTTGTTTAAGATTGCAACCCTATAGAAACCACACCCATTATCAATCGCCGACTTGCTAAATATGATTATGACTAGCAGCGAACTAGGTTGTCGTGTGTGAGGCTAAATACACTTGGGGACCGAATTTTTCAAACAAGTGTGGTTCCAAAAGATACGCAAAGAAACAAACTGCCAAAATAGTCATTCATATGGGGACTTACGTAAAAGAACCAATTAACCAAACAGAACAGAACAGTCTTTGTTGTCAAACCAAACGGCACCTAAACACTATTGCCAAATACTCCCATCTGGGGTTTTACTAGAATCAAACAGATATTTTCCCTATTGTCAAAATCAAACGGGGCCAAAAGACCTTTTTCCTTCTCCATGACTAAAACGATTGACCAGCCGCCTCCCCCCTCTCTCTCATTAAAATCTTCCACATGCCGCGTCTGAGGGGTCTAATCTCTATATAAGACCTCCATGCTTGCCTTCAAAGAACAAACTTATTAAGAAAAAAGAGGGAACAAAAAGAATGGCTTCTTCTCTTGCTTCTCTATCTGTCTTGGTTGTGTTCCTAATCACAGGCGAGCATGGTCTCGGTGTCTTAGCCCAGAATTGCGGCAAAGATAGGGGAGGAGCCGTGTGCGCAGGAGGTCTTTGTTGCAGCAAGTGGGGTTTTTGTGGAAACACTACTCAGCACTGTGGTGAAGATTGCCAGAGCCAGTGCACACCTCGCTCTTCTACCCCCTCAACACCGAGCACTGGCGGTGGGGGTGGTGATGTTGCTTCTCTTATATCTCAGTCTCTGTTTGATCAAATTCTTAAGCATAGGAATGACGCTGTTTGCGAAGGGAAAGGGTTTTACGCTTACAGTGCTTTCATCACTGCTGCCAAGTCATTTCCTGCGTTCGGAACAACCGGTGATATGACCACCCGAAAGAGAGAGATCGCAGCTTTTCTTGCTCAGACCTCCAAGGAGACCACTGGTATGTAAATCTGTCTCTCCAACCTTAACGTTGTTGCATTTCATTCTCTTTGCTCTTAGTTCTTCAATTTTAGGGTAAATAAAAGTAATTTTGGATGTGTAGGTGGATCGCCAGCTGCACTTGATGGGCCTTACGCATGGGGCTACTGCTTTGTGAATGAGATGGCAAGAGGTGATTACTGCAATGCTAGTGCTCAGTGGCCTTGCGCTGCCGGAAAAAAATATTATGGCCGGGGACCCATCCAAATTTCTTGGTAAATCGTTCTCTCAAATTTCATGAGTAAATTTGACAGCAATAAGGCTCACGACTATAATATGAACTATTTACCACCCTACCACATGCAGCAGCAAATATCATTCGTTATAATGACTCAACAACTCTTACAAACGTAGGGCGGGCAATGGACACGTACATAGACCCGACCTAGAACCCGCCGGGCATACCTGACACGGGTCCGGTTATGGGTCCAAACTTCGGACCCATGCTAGGGTCCAGGTCCTTTATAATGGACCCGAATATTCTCGGGTATGGGTCCGGGTATTAGTGGACCCGCCCGATACCCAACCCAAGACCCAAAGTTTTCCACCCATTTTCAAACCTATATTTCATTTTATAGCAAACCTTCTCACTTTACCTCATTAAATCTTTCGATGTGGGACTAGAAGATTTTCCCTACCCACAAAGCAACAACAATTTTCTTTCTTTCTTTCTTTAACCCCTCCCACTTACGGAGAAGTAAGTATGAAGTGATAATAAGAGAGAGAGGTTGTTGTCTATAGATAGGAAGATTAGTCTCATGTCAATGGGAATAGAAAGAAATAATTACGTCGAGATTTATAAAAGCAGAGGCATTGGGGTGCTTGGGACAATGACACAGCCAGTGCGAAAAAAATTGAAGGGCGTCAAAATTGCTAGTGTCGTGTGAAAACTATTTCCAAACCCCCTCATTGGCTAGTCTCGGGTATCGGTCTAGGTCATGAGTCCAAAATTGCCCGTCGGGTACGGGTACAAGTACATTCAATTTAGATTTAGACCCATAAGGTCCTTGTCCGACCCAACCTGTACCCAACCTGTTGTCGCCCCTACACAAACGCACTCTCATCGTCATTCATAGAAAAATACTACTTTTTGCAAAAAGGAAAAGCCCCCATTCATGATCTCGGCTGTCATATATCTAATCGGGTAACCTACAGCCATGGGATGGGTGGGAGATCATCATCATCTAATTTTTATCTCAATTATTTGAGGTCGGCTACAAAAATTTTAGTCCTCCATTCTGATGGGCATACGCTTATGAGCTCTAAATCAAGTTTTTCCTTTTCTCATGTTGGTCATATATGTGAATATATTTCCTATCTTGAGAATGAATAGAGAGTAGTGTTCGTAAAATTGAACCGAAATGGTTAACCAGACATGAGCCCGGAAGCGGTTCAACTGGCCTAACCGATAAACCAGCCGATTCAATTGTTCTTATCGGGTAAGTCTCGGGTGGTAAAAAAACTTTTGAAAAATTAGAAAAGATACAAAAAAAAAGCGTCTAAAATATGAAAAGTATAAAAAGAATGATTAAAATAAAGCACATTCAAATGAACTTGAAAATTAAAGAAAAGAATGGATTTTAACGAATCTATGTGTGTTAGGGTATTTTTAAAATTTTTTGAAAAAGATGAAAAAATATAAAAGTGAGTATTAATGACCAAAACAATTTTTAATCTCTACCATAAATAATATTAAAAAGTGTATTACAAACCAAGTTTCTTATTTCTGGGAATTTATATACATTTTCTTTGATTGTTTTAAATACCAGTCGATAGCCAAAACCGCCCAATATCGAAACCGGCCACTAACCGATTCTGATTTAACTAGGCGGTTAGCAATTATATCGCTCGGTTTTTCTAACAGTGATAGGGAGCGATAATATGATTTGAATGTTTTTTGAGTGAATATATGATTTGGAAAGTAGTTGTCAACTAATAAACCTCACGTGGTACTTCTGGATCAATATGTACGGCTTTGACCTTGGGTCAGAGCAAAGTTTTCTCTAAAAAGTCATTCAAGAAAGGGTGAGGTTTGTATAAGGTTGCCTCCAGCCATCAAAATCTCTTTTTATCGTCAGTTATAAAATTTAAAATTTTCAAAATGGTACAGATCTAGCAAAGTAAAAAACACTTACAAAATTTGAAAATAAACGGTCCAGATAAATTATTACATGCACCATTTTTTGAACTTAGAAGTCTTTTTTTCCTCCATGTTCATTCATCTCAAGGTCGAGATGTTCAATTAGAGGGTTCTCCTACCAGAATACTCTCCATTGTAGGTTTTTTTAAGGTGCACCTTACTCCAACAGTATAAGGTTTCAACCTTATATAAACTTTTTGCAACATATTTTCATTGAAGAAATATTAGTATCTCCAATTTTCTTGGTCTAGCAACGCGTCTGGTAAAATCAGAAAGTATATTCTGAAACGCTAGGCTGGTGGATCGATCAACAGGTGCGAGTCAAACCGACTAAATTGTCAAGTCGGCTGGACTAACCCTCAAACTTTGAAAGTGGGAAAAATGGTATAAAAAGTGGTCCAAAAATCAATCTTTGAAAGTATTTTGTTTTGATTTTAAAGAACTTGGTTCGGGCGATTGTAGATAAATGCGTTCGAAAATGACAAATTTAAATGAATTCGGTGAAAACAGGAGAGAGAAATCTGGAGTTTTTTTTTGAAATTGTGCTTGGGGTTGAGTGGTTAGTTGTTGGTGATTGGAACACTGTGTTCTAAAAGTTCAATTCCTATCACTGAACTACCCCAAAAAAAACAATTCTACGATTTTTAATTTCAAATTTAAGACCCCAAAACTTTGGAATCACGATTTCTTCTAGTTTACTTTATGATCCGACAAATTGTTATAGGTTTATGTTAGAGGGATCTCATACTAACATTTGAATCCAATTGCAAATGATTTGGTGGAGAAATGAGAGAAAAAAATGACATATTAGCATGAAAAATGGGCCCAAATGCAATTTTCTATTAAAAGAATGAGCTTTGGAGGATAAAATGCATCAATTTGTATCCAAATGGATCAAAATGGGGATTATAGAGAGATTATTGGCGGAAATAAAGTAAAGAATGCTGAAAAGACCACTTTTTACCTATTTTTCAAGTGATAAAGGAGCCGAGCGAGACCCGTACCCTACTAGGCCCGTGTTTACTAGGAATATATTTCCTGGGGTTATGGTTGATAGAAGATGCTTCCCCAATCAAATGATAACATAGACAATAAGTATTACCATTTATGATGGCTATTATCCATTGGAAACGGACTTTCCGTGAGTCTAACTGTGTTGTTCGGGGAAATGGGCTAGGTGGTCGAGTTAGCAGCCTGTATTTAG